AAAGATGTCAGTCTTTATTTTTCTTCTTTTTAGGGCAGCAGTAGCTCTAGCAGCAAATCAACCATCCACATCAAAAGCTGCAGGACAGCCCACATTTCAGAAACAAATCAAAGAAAAATAAACAAATACTACTGTTCCAAATATTCTGTATGTTGCTCAAAATATATTGTTCAGTTTTTTTTTTTTTTTACCCAGACATTTAAAATTAACACATTTTAGAGCTGTAACAACAATACCGTGATACCGTTAAACCGTGATATTTTTGCTTAAGGTTATCATACCGTCAAAATCTCATACCGGCCCATGCCTAGTCCCCAGACATTTTCCATTTCAAACTTCTCCAGACTTCTCTTTCGATCGGTCAGACCATATTGAACATATGATGTATTCCCTGTGCACACTATTTTGCCACACAATACCGTAAACTTCACTGATAACTACAGGATTACATTTGATGTGCTATTACACTTTAACTGACTGCATACAATTTCAATGCATAGAAGTTTTACAATAATATTGTCACTTTCTCTGCTGCTGGTTTGAGGGACGCAAAAAATGCTCGTTCATTCATTTAGTGCAGTTCACAACAAACTTGTTCACGGTAAAGACAACCAGATCACCAAACGATCATTAAACACCTGCATGATAAGTATGTTGGCGTGAACATCACTCAATGTGACGTTGTTACCTACTATTTTCCACATAGTAGAATAAAGTCAGAAAAACTATAAAATATCACTCATATCATATCCATTCATAAATAAGCTCATGTAGGCACAATTAATATTCAGAGCAGCTATCTGCACTCCAAAAGTCAAGCGGAAGCAAACAGTTCTAGAGAGAGTTCATCATTCGTAACACTTCTGTGTTTTCCAGAAGCATTGTTAGCCAAATATGGTCACAAGTTCACACCACAGATCTGCTTTTATGCACCAGCAGCTATGCCCCAGAAAAACATGGAAGCAAAATGTATATCTGAATTTGAGTAGATCACAAAAATGGTGTAGATGCTTCCTGAATCTGATGTAAAAACGACGTGAAAGACAGACAGACGCACCTGTTTGTAGACGGGGTCTACTGGCACCTCCACAGGCTTTGGGTCCGTGTGAAAGAGAGGCAGCTTCAAAAGAGCCAGCGAGATCAACGCCAAGCTCAGAAGAGCAATAAGCAGCCTTCTGCTGGAGTGAAAAAAAAGAAATACTTAAACTTACCGTACAGCATCAGTAACTAGACATTCTTGGATGAATTCATCTTTAGTGGTTACCAGGTAAGGAAGCATTCTAGTATTCTCATGTCTACTGTTTACCTGGGTTGACAATGCCACTGTCTGACGACTCTCCTCATGGTATCGGACCACAAAATCCTCTCTGCACTTCTGCTGTCTGGAACAAGAGGTGTGCACTTCCGCATGCGGTCGATGACACCTTAAAAGCAGAAAAAACCCAGACTGAAATAGCACAAATGCTGCAGTACTGAAACCACCAAGAGAAAGTTTCGCCCAAGACTGCATTCCCAATCCTTTTCACAAATCTGTTAACAAATTCGGCAAATTTTCAAGCTACAAGTTAAAGGCATTTTTGATCAACAGGTAAGTATGTTAAAGGGCACCTATCGTGCCCCTTTTTACAATATATAATAGAAGTCTCAGGTGTCCCCAGAATGTGTCTGCGAAGTTTCAGCTCAAAACACCCCACAGATCATTTATTATATCATTTTGAAAATGCCTATTTTGAGTGGAAGCAGAAACACGCTGTTTTCGTGCCTGTCTCTTTAAATGCAAATGAGCTGCTGCTCCCCGCCCCCTTTTCCAGAATAGTGCAGAGCCCTTACGGCTCATACCTCAGATACTCTGATTAAAAAAAAAATCTGTTTGGTTTTGATTATCATGTCTATCGCGCTGAAATCATGCGTTTTAAAGTCGTATCAGTGTAAACTTCTGATATAGTGTTTTCTGAGCGCACAGAAAGCGGCTGTCACATGGCGTGTGATCACTAAACGAAGTTCTCTTTCATGTCTTATTGCACTTAAGTGTTAAAAATACAAATGAGTTACAAAAACAGTCAGTTTGTCTGTGAAGGTAAACAGCTGGGAAAGAAATCGCATGTTTGTATTAGATCTGTGTAAGTGACAGCAGTGTAATAAACAGTGCCTACTGCGGTCTACGCTGTTAATATGAGCCAAATAATAATAAAATAAAAACAGAAAATCACACACTGCTCTTGAATGAATAATTTCTGTAGCTCTAATAAGAAGACATTTCTTACATGAATGCTGCTTTTAAATGCTGTAGCGTGAAGATGAACGTGTCGGACTGTGTGCGGCTCATTTAGGGTGGGTCTATGCTAATACGGCCGTGCCCGTCAACAGTCGTGGGCGGGGCCTGTACAATGTAACATCACTTTTTACAGATTCTGCCAATGGCTTGTTCTGGGACACTGCTTATGATTTATGGGGATTTAAAAAAAAGGAGCGGGTGGATTTTTATAATTAATTTTAAAGAATATAATTATTAAAGCAAAACATTTAAAGAAGTGATTTCAAACTCTGGTCTCACGAGCCCAAGTCAATCATTTTGGCTCTAACAGCATCTGAAATGTTCTGGTGTTGCTGGAGGGGTACAGTGAGAAGTGTCTGGTACATACAGTGAAGTTCAGTGAAACTCTTCTATATTGATGTATAAGTGTTTTATCAATGCTGTCATCAATTCACACAAAAACTTGAAACTAGGGATGCACTGAAAGGAGCATTAAAATAAAACCCTCCCTTTATTTAATATTCTGTTTTTAGTTGGAAATACGTCACAATACCGAAGTAAAGTCAGCCGCAACTTCTGGTTCAAACTGACTTTAATTAATAGCCTACTTCTTGAGTTACAGGCATGCCAACCTGACGCAAAATACACAAGTGCTTTTTGCCATTTTTGAATCGTCACCGCTGGCATATAATGAAACGGACCTACAGTACCAATCTCCGTGTAAGAATGACAGAATGATGCTGCCATCGTTCTAAAGTCATTTTTACACCCCTGTAATTTGTCAGAATTGTCACTTTGACCCTCCTCTATAAAACAGTGGATTACTCAGTAAATTTACTGCTTTTCATCAATTTATATGTTTGTCTTTCAAATTTTAACTAAATCAAAATTTTGAGCCGGGGAAGTTTCTGAATTTAGGCCGATTTGACACATTGTGTTACCATGTTTTTGAACACTTACTATAATAACATCACCAAATAGATAAATGAACAGCATGATAACATTAATGTAATCTCTTTAGCAGGCTGCAAGGTGTAGGCTACGTCCAAAAAACAAACCACACAAATACTTTTTAAAAGAAAACTTATGTACTCCACAATAGCCTACATACGCCTTTAATTTGCATATAACCATATAAAAACAACAACCACGATATTAATTTGGGTAATTAACTGCTGTAACAAATAAAACATTAAGGAAGTTTGGGGGAAAATGTAACGTTCTTAACTCGCTACATTTCAATCAGCCGCTTGTTTGATACAACAGACATAAAGATAGGCTATATATAATTAGAGATCGACCGATATATCGATTAACCGATATTTTTCCCGATATTTAAGCATTTTACAATAATCGGATATCGGTTTTGTAATATCGGATTCACCGATAAACGCCGCCATCTTGTGGATGTTTTGAGAATTGCACACAGGATCACCATTGCAGCGCATCTGAGGGGAAACAAGGCAACAACAACGGTGTGCAGGGGTACTTGATTTACTGTAGTTAGTAAACTTTATTTAACATAACAGCCATTAATGCACAGATGAGATGTGTTACATAAATGCCTGATATGCAGTTTATGCAGCTTGGCTAGAAGAAAATGAGACGGACTCACAGAGTCATGTAAGATAATCCGTCAAGTCCTGTCCCAATAAAGACGTAACTTTGCCTGAATTAAATAATATGCAGCCATGAATGGGCGCATGTTGGAAATAAAAGTGCTGAATTTAATTCGCTCTCTGTTGTCTATATGCTCATCGTCTCATGAAGTCGGAGTCACGTAGGCTAAGATAAATAAAAACGCTAAATTTATTTCTCTGTCTGTGGTCTATGCTCATCATTAGTCTCGTGAAGCCGCTTTCATATTGCTGTTCACTCACCGGGTTGATGTGGTTGATGCTCAGGAAATGCTCCAGCACGGCCACAGCATGTAACTTTTAACAAGATTCACTTGTTTAAAACACCCTAAATTGTATTAACATTTAATAACCATTATTTCGCTAATAAACATCTAAATAAATACATCTCTATGGAAACTAATTTATTATCTCCGCGAGCGATCGCAGTTTGAGTATAGTTCTGTGTAAATGCATAGATAAACTGCGCTGTCAGCAGGCATTTCATAATCTAGAAGGACAAAAACATATGAATAATTCTGATATAACATTCCAGTTGAGAAATGCAATAAAATACGATGTTTTGTTTGTTAATATTCCAGAGAATATTATTCAGTGAATTAACAATATCCAGTGAATTATTCTTGACTCTGTAGCTATTAAACAGCTTATAAACCTACTAAAACTGTAGTTTAAAATGAAGTTGATATGACTCCTTTCCTTTATTTATTTTCTCCATTTGAAAACATTAGACCTTCTACATTTATTTTGCTTATTGTTAATATTAGTGTTGCTGCTGATGCTTTAAATAAAATGTTTTTTTATTGTTGTAATATGAAGATTAAATTTAACATGAAAGACTGCTAATTTTCAACACTTTTCTTAAGATGACTGAAAGGAGAAACCAAAGTGAAGTATGGACTTCACTCAGTCATTTATTTACTTTATAACAGTAAATAAATATCGGTTCTGCATATCGGTTATCGGGCACATAAACACGCAAATAATTGGTATCGGTATCGGTTATAAAAA